CCCTGGTAAAATCGCTTATTTCAACCTTCCCTTTATTCTGACAAAGTTAAAGACTCTCTTAATCAGTTAGATTCAGGAAGGAAAAGTACCCAAAAAGGTTTTCTAAAAAATTGTAATCTCTTGGATATAGAACCCTCAACACTTTTGGGAAGTGACGGATGAAAAATTCTGACTGGTACATCTCCCCAAATACCTACTGTTTCTGTCTAGATGAAGCAGAGTATTAAGACAGCTTGTTTCACATTGCCCTTTTGCTTGCTGGAGGACGTTTATTTCTGATGGAAACTTCTATTCTCACCTTTGGCCTCCCCGATAACATAGATCTTTGGCTCCATAAAGCCCTCATGCGTAGGTGGTTGAAAGATAAAGCAAGAGTATTGTGGAACTATGCAGTTAGAGCTTTTATGTGGTCTTTTTGGCATGAAAGAGACGAAGAAACGCCTTTTGAATCCTTTCTCAAGCTGAAGCTCCCTTCACAAAAATTTCTTTCGTAATCACAGTATTTATTACTGTTATTATTATTATTATTAATTTGAAATGGAAAGACTCATGCAATAGTTGTTCCTGGAGGGGAATCGTTTTCCTCGACCTGTAGGTTTTGCATCTTTTTCTATTTTTATTAACATTCCCCGTTTCTAAGTATTGTAAATAAATACACGTCAAAGTTTGGGTGAATCCATTTTATTCTAACAGCTCATCTCAGCTAATAGGAAGGGAGCCAGTTAGAAATTTAATAGGAGCAAATAAACAATACCTGGAGCACTGATTGAGAGAGGAGGATTGAAATGGATGTTTTCAATCGTTTCCAAATATTATTCCCACAATTTTTCATCGCAGGCCTCCATATATCACTGAGTGATATTCGTGATATGAAGATAGGCCTGGATAAAAAACAATTGTATTGCAAAGTTATTCAAGAGGAAAACTGCTAATGTAACTACTAGAGCCAAAAAAGACTTCCAGAGAGGAAGAGACTAAAGGTTCCTAATACACAGCTAATTAGCATAATATTTTCAATATTTGAATATTTCAAATACATAAATATCGACCATCCCAAATAAAACCCAAGTGGCTCAGTTTAGCTACAAACTCTAGGAGCTAAATGATGAGTTGCAGTGAAATAGTTCTACAAGTTCTACTTTTTTTAAGGCTTCATGCTCTCTTTCGATCCATCAAACAGGACATGAGCACATTGTCGATAAGCACTTTTAGCAACATTGCCAAAAAAATTTATCAAATCAGCTAGCAAGGTATCAGTCATACTACCATAGCTAGTTAACTGAACTTCCTTTCTTATATAACAGAATTAGAGCAATAACTAGGAATTAGAATGGTCAAACCTTAAATAAGGTTCAGAAGCTTTACTGTCATCATTAGGCGTGAATGGTTGTTCTGGCATAGGAGGAAGAAGTCCTATCCATGTAAGGAGCCTCCTTAAGAGTCTTCCACGAGGCCCCATGGAAGAAAGAATTCCTTCGTAACGTGATACTGCACTCTGGGCTGCAAGCCAAATTGGAAGGTCTTTATCTGAAATCCGATTGTCACTCAGTAGACCATCAGAATCTTCTTCATCATAACGAAATAATTGCTGAGATGTAGGAAGTTCGCTCACCCAAAGCCTCAACCTCTTAACCCATTCTTGTATTTCTGGCATCTGTGGAGCACCATAAACAACCTGTTAATAATCAAAAAGGAAACTTGACAATAATGACAATGAATGATTCTCGAAGTCCAACATAGTTACAGAAGTATTGACACATTAGATGTTCAAGAAAAGGGGATCAAAATGCAACCAATATCCAAATAGTCAACCTCAGCAATCCAAGTACCAAGTCTCCCCAGTGGCTTTGCGATTATGGAAAAGAGTCCACGTAGAAGTCTAGACTGTATATAATCTAGTTTATCAACAATTAATAGGCCTGTCTGCCTCTCAGTTGCATATCCTCGCCTGTCCAAAAAATAATCGCAATTGCTTCAACGATGTTGGAACAGGAAAATATATGCTGAAATAAAATATAATAGACTAGGACATTGCTTCAACAAACTAGATGAGAAACAATGACGTATCTAACCGTCATATTTTCGTATCAAATAGCCATGAAAGCATCAATCTAATACCCAACCAACTGCCAAGTATTGTTTTAGAGTCTACATGCATCATTCTTATTGAAAAACGCATTGAGAAAATTCTAAAAGAAAGAAAACGAGTAAAATGAGGTAGAAATACCAGATATAGGCATGTGTACTATATAAAACTAAGGATCCATACAAAACAACGTTATTGTATCACATCATTTTTAGATATCAGGAACAAACCATGTCAAGCAAATATAATAATGAACTCACTAAACAAGGCATCTTGCTAAGAACGAGAACTAGAACGTACAACATGCCTAAGATAAGCAACAAGCATCATCTCACAAACGCGTTGAGAAAAACGCGTTTGTGATATCAGGAACACCAGATATAGGCATGTGTACTATATAAAACTAAGGATCCATACAAAACAACGTTATTGTATCACATCATTTTTAGATATCAGGAACAAACCATGTCAAGCAAATATAATAATGAACTCACTAAACAAGGCATCTTGCTAAGAACGAGAACTAGAACGTACAACATGCCTAAGATAAGCAACAAGCATCATCTCACAAACTTTACAACAAGAATAAAAATAGTCTGTTTCAGAACCTGAAAATAATTGCATTAGACTCGGACGCCCTCTTCCAGTCAACGTATATTGGCAAAGTAAGCAGATAGTCTGTATTTAATGCTGATGTCAAGCCCAGGTCCATGGCGGACAGTTCCTCAAATTCAGCATTTTTAAGAAGTTGGATAAAAGAACGCTGGAAACGAGTGGCAACTGCTACTCTAACAAAAAATACACAAGAAGAAAATATTTCATTCAGATTCAGGTTGAAACTGTGTAGCTTTTCATATGATGTCAGAGTCACAAACATGAAAACATGAACTGAAGAAAGATGGTTTATTCTACAGGGATTGGATTGCATAGGACGATTCATGCAAGTTGTAATAAATTAGCACGTCTGAGCGTTAGAACATCAATGACCATAAAGGGAATCTACAAGGAACTCATTTCTAGTTGCAGATAACTGCAGTATGCAAAGATTTCATGCAGAAGTTTTATGAATTGAATAAAGAACTAAAGCGATCAACTCGATTGAAGTTCATAGGTTCTTTTAATCATACAAACATGCATGTTCATATGTTTATTTACTAATTGGAAAAACGATGTTAAGAAATTCAAGAATTCAAGACCTACGAAGATTCCCCATTGATGTAACTATATACGCCACCCTTTAGAGAACTCAAGAGATTGCGGAAGTCCAAATTATAACTGAAAGGCATCGGATTGCCAACTCCAATCTTCTGCACCAGCTCCTCCATGCTTCCAATTCCAGTAATCGCATCTTTGAACGTGATAGACTCCTCTTTCTCATTCGAAACAGTCTGGCCATCAGTATTAGTAGAAGATTCTCCTGAATTAGCCTCGTTTTCCAGCGACTGCGTAAGGGAATAATCGTTCCGCATTTCTTCTAAGGTCTTCTTGTGTTCAGCATGAAGAATAGAGTCCAAGCACCTGCAAAAGCGGTCAAGTGAATATGTCTTGTTCGAATATCGACGGAAATAGATAGAGCGAGTGATGGAACTGACGAAGAGAGGAGCAGAAAATGTTGAGCATCGGGATCATCATCATCGTCGTCGTCATGGTTAGAGTTAAAGAAGGTCGAAACAATGGCATCCAACAGCTGAGCTTTAGAAACTGGAATGTGCTTGTGTCTAGGAACAGGAATCCTAGAAATACCTTTGTCTTGGAACTCATCGTCAGCCATGTCGCCGTTGTTGTTCGGCCACTGGTTGAATCTGGAAGCCTCCGCCGCGTTGGATTCCAAAGGTTGGGTGGAGATATCGGGAAAACCAGTGAGGGAAGATGAACATGGAAGAGGACGAGAGTGACGATGAGCGTGAGGAATTGGGGAAAAGAGGCGTGATGAACTGCGGAGGCCGGTGGGGAGCTGCAAAGACGCCAGCATGGTGCCGACCTGAGCTCCGGCTCTATCTATCGATCGTATAGGATAAGGCGCGCGCAGGTTCCAATCCTTCCCGGTTCCCAGTCCAATAAATCAATTAATTATTTTCTTTGGGAACAACAAAAACACCACAAGTTTCAATAATTTATCAATTTATAATTTTAAATTTTTAAAATTAAAAACTAAATAATTATTAAAGCCGACCTTAATTATTCAATTATTTTCTTTGGGAACAAAAAAAAACACCACAAATTTTAATAATTTATCAATTTATAATTTTAAATTTTTAAAATTAAAAACTAAATAATTATTAAACCCGACTTAATTATTCATTTGTTAAATTATAAATTTAGTATTTAAATTTTTTAGTTTGTATCATTTCATTTATAAATTTTAAAAATAAAAACTTATATCAAATAAATCTCTAGAATTTTAATATTACGATTAATAAATTTTAATAAATTTGGTACATATTGAATATTTATTGAAATTTTACTATATAGTTTAGTATTATGTTGGATAAAATTTAATTTTATATTTGATGAATAAGTTATTTTTAAAAAGTTTTTATAAATTTATTTGATAAAAAAATATATAGTTCTATTGCAGTTTATTGCAGTTTATCTATACCTCATTTATCATCTTCATCTTTAAAGATAGGTAAATACTTGAAAAAATTAAGGGTTTTTTTTTTTTTTACTCTTTTAAAAAATTAAAAATGTATTTTTTAAAATAAAATATTAATAGTTTAACCAAAAATTAAAAATGTATTTTTTAAAATAAAATATTAATAGTTTAACCAAAAATTAAAAACTAAAATGATATTTTTAAATTTATATTTTTGAAGTTCTGAAGGTATTATTAAAATTTAGGATATTTTTATTAATTTAGTAAAAAAAAAGAATATTAATAAATGAAAAAATTGTTAGTTGGGCTACTTTTGTTCTATTATCGGTGTGAGTGTGGGGATGTGGCGGAGATTGAGAAATAGATATCCATGAGTTTGTGTTTGCAGGCGAAGGCGTTGCCGGTGTGTGCGTGGAGAAGCGATGGGATAAGAAACAGGGCAGCTCCCAGCCCTAACCCTATTCCACCCAGAGACCGCGTGATAGGGTTCGGGCGGCACAAGGGCAAGATGCTGGGAGCCCTGCCTTCATCCTACCTCAAATGGATCTCCAAAAATCTCAGAGCTAGGGACACGGAAGAGTGGGCCATTTTGGCAGACCAGGTTCTGGAGGACCCGGTTTACCAAGACCGCATCCAGTGGGAGTTCGCCCACAACCTTCTGAGCGGCGGGGATGGGAGAAGGGGAACTGGCCGCGACGGCGTCGTTTCTGAGCTGTTGGAGATCAGTGATAGGTTTGGCTGGGATTGGGACGGTGGCGCCCACGACGGCGGTTGGAGAGACGTTAACTTCGAGCTCTTGGGGACCTCTAAAGGTGGAAGAATCCCTCGGCGAGGCGATCCGACGGCGCAGAAGGTGTCGCCGGGCGGAGGCGGAGGCAGTGGCGGTGGCGGAAAAAGGAGCGAGAGAAGAGATCGGCTGAGGGTGAAGCGAGAGAAATCGAAGGGAGTGGTGGAGAGAAGTGAAACGGAAGTGGAGAACAATCCTCTACCCACTCCCAAAGCTCAACCGGATAATCCGGTTACCGGGATGAACCGTCGCTTCCCTGGTCGTCAAACTCTGCTAAACCGGTTTACCACAGCCAAAGCACATTTATTGGATTAAATTACCAATTTTAACCTTAGAAAATTAGATATGAATTAAATTTGTAATTTTACATTTTTGTTACGAAAAAAAAATATATATATGTTTTTTACCCTTTACCACCATTGTCGATACCTGAGGTGGAACAAATGTTGAGTTGTTCGTCCATTAAAGCGATATATGAGCTAGATTTTGAACGTCGTGAGACAGCTTGGTCCATATTCGGTGTATGCGTTAGAGCATTGAAAGGACCTTCCCCTACTTCGCTCCTCCACATTTGTCATCTCGAAGTTGGTGTTAAAATCATCCAACACTAAAAATGAATGGCTTGGCCACAACTACAAGGGCTCTACAAACAACAATGGAAGTGTAGTCTCGTCTTATGTAAATCGGTAGATACTCGTAATGAAATCATGATATTTAAATTCATCTAGTAACTAACCATACAACTTCAACCATATGCGATGACGAACTTCTCATAGTTAAATAATATACATGAGGATAGAGATTTGAAGTTCCGATCATATACTAACCAATCGAGTACTCAAGTTTGGCTGGCATCCGTGATTCTAATAAACCGCGTCGGGGTCTCGTTTGGTACTCAATTCCACTTGATCATCTTGGTTGGGGAAGCTTTTATCTTGGCTGTTACACATTAATAGGCTAAACAACTGTTTCTTCATGCGAACTGAGAATTGTAGTTTACACGACAACAAAAAGAAGATTATACACATTCTCCGGTGTACTCCCTTCCCTTCATTTCTTGCTTTATTACAACTGAGAAAACTCGAGTTTCTAGCAAACCAGATGAACACTCGACCACGTCCATGGCCACGACCTCGACCACGAGGCTCATTGCCTCTACGACCATTCCCTGAAATGTTGGCAAAGAGGGCCAACGTAGTGACCAATGATTTAAGCATTATAATCTCCACATCTAAATCACCAATTCCACAAGAAATAGGTCCCCATCAAATCTGAGTCCTGATGATTCAGCAGCCTGAACTACGCCATCCACCATCCCTCCAAGGATGTATAAACAACAACCAGAACGATCCGTGCAGGCACGATGAAATGATCTCGAGTTCGGTGTGCAACCATTCGCCTTTAATCTCTTCCACATCTTTGCTGCTAATCCAATAGAGTTTCCTGTTGTTAGCTGCACTTCGATTGTTTTCAACGCGCTGACATCCAACGCCCAAAAGTCGTCTTTTCGGTGTCTCTCTGTGTCTTCCCCTCCATATATTAGAAGGCGGCCTCCCAGGATGAGATTTGCCGAGTGTCCGACTCGAGGGAGCGATACTCCTTCGGTTACGTTTTGTAAGTCGTACAGGATTTGCACCCATCTACCATGACCCTCAAATATACTCAACAGCCAGATATCATTCAGCACATCATAGCCTACTCCTCTACCTCCAAATAGAACTACTTTCATTCCTCCAATGGAAGTAAGTGTATGTCCCGACCGAGCTGGAGGCGACGGATGAGACACGATCTCGTACCAAGTTCCAAATTTAAGATTCTCAGACAGTTCTAACACCCAAGTATCAAACAATCTAATACCACCTAACCCAATTCCTCCATGGATAACCATCTTCTTGTCATCGATGCAGCACGAAGCATGAGCTCCACGAGGCGGTGGTGCTAACTCCCCCACATCGAGCGGTATCCATGAGAATTCAAAACCATGAATCCCTTTCCTTTCGACTCTTCCAGCCCACGTATCGTTTTGACGAATTCCATTGTCGTTGATTCCTCCAAAGAGTATTAGAAAATCACCAACAACATTACATGTATGCCCAAATCTCCCACTTGGGGTGCCTGAATTCATCTTTCGCCAGTTTAGCATCCTGTGACAATCATTACCAATGTATGCCAGCCAGGTATCATCAAGATGACGCCCTATATCAACAAACAACATCAAAATAGAGCTCAGATGTTCACAAACTTAGGACTAAACAGATCAAACTCTAATTAACATTTAACATCTTCCTCACCAATTGACAATTAGACAATTTCATCGGTTAGATGAACACGACTCTCCACAATGGTATGATATTGTCCACTTCGAGCATAAGCTCTCATGGCTTTGCTTTGGGCTTCCCCGAAAGGCCTCATACCAATGGAGATAGTATTCTTTGATTATAAACCCATGATCATTCCCTAAATTAGTTGAGGCGGGACTTTCATCCAATATCATCTACTCCACCAACTACAGAGGCCAGAGGTTTCTTATTTTGATTTGCAGAAAATAATACAGCATCAAGATTGAACAAGAACCTATCCTCATGGTTTGATACTAAAGATCCATAGGTATAACAAGTATTACGAATCAAAAATGGTTTAGTTAGATCATTAATATTGCATTCGAAGGCAGTCGGCTCAAATCATTCAAGGCAACAAGATTAAGAACAGGATAATGAGATAAAGAACACAAACCACTTTCGCAACCTCCACCAAAGAGTACCAAGCAATCTGAGACGAAGTTAAGGGAGTGAGAAGCTCTAGGGCCCGGAAGTGACGATGATTCAGCGTCTGGATCGGATAATCTATGGCAACGAACAGATTCAAGCCGGGAAAGTTGCTTGAAGACACGCATCCATGGCAGGTGAGAAGAGAGATGATAGGAGTTGAGAGCCTCGACGGAAGCGGATCCCCATTCCCTTCTACAAATAGCTTCCCAGAGAGCATCAGAGGAAGTGAGAGCCCTAAATCTGCTACAAGTAACGGAGAAGGAGAGTATTGAATCTACAGGCAGTAGAAGGAGAATAGCGAATAAGTGGTCGGGAGCAAGGGAAGTGATCGGTGATCCGTCGTGGTAGCCACCGGTAGTAGTGGATCCTTCCGGTTCCATGAGAGACGGTAAAAGACGGCGGTAAGTAGGCGGCTGATTTGCGCCTCCACCTCCTCCTCCGCCTGGAAGAGAAGAACAGGTAAATTCTCGGATTTGGAAAAGACAAGATTTCTAGTGTTGGTTGTCGTGTAAAAAGATAATAAGCAATCGATTGGATGCTCAATCAATCAAACGCAATCCGTCATTTTCAATCTAAAATTTCGTTTCCAACACATGTCGATCTTGTTTATCTAATCAATCGCTGCTTTTGAACTAATCTCTATCCGAATCATCTCCCACGCAGATTAATTCAAACTATATTATCCGTAATAATGTTACTAATTATCAATCAGGCTTAATATCTATCCACATCTCCACATCTCATTCTTAATTAACATTTTGTTGCTTATGTTTGTTTCCATTTTTATACTAAAATGTCACATAAATTTAATACATTTATTATAAGGTACACTAATTTTGGACGGAAGACTGTTAAATCGACAATAATTGACATACATTTTCAATTTTTATATGATTAGTGTCGAATCTTTCTAAAAACGCTTAAGAATCATCCTAAGTAATCAACTCATAATACTAAAAAAAGTAAGGTAGATGTTGAACACAACACTTTGTAGGAAATACTGACACTAAGTAATCAGCTTGTAACACTTGAAGAATTAAGGCATCTTTGAATGAGATATTGAACAAACACTTTGTGGAACACTGAGACACCCTTTATTAAGACCCATTGAAAAGAGAATAATTACATACCTGATTTGATCGATGGACGAATACGCAAGCATACGTTTCATGCTTGTTTGAGTAATAGCAATGGGATTCCCCAATATCATGCCAAGAATAGCTAGGATTTCCATAAGAAGATGTCATTCGTTTGATGAGAAATAAAAAGGAATATCGAAAATTCGAGTGGCTGAAGCTGAAGCAGCTACTTTCGAAGAAACAGAAAGAAAAGCAACGACTGGAGTGGGAGAGTCAAAGTCGAAAAGAGGATTCTTCACTTCTTTCTCTCATTCAAAACCGTGCATGAGACTTTCATCTCGCACGCCTCCTAAGCTAAGTGATAAAAGAAAGAACTCATCTTCTTTCCTTTTTTGTATTACCTTCCTCGCGTATGTAAAACACTCAAACGAAATACGGGCTCCGTGCTTTGTATTTCTTGGATGAAAACCTATTTATAAAATATTAAATCATTCGATTTAACCGCGATATTTTAACCTAAGATTCATTTAAAATTATTGTGCTTGATTCTATTATTCACATTTAGAATAAGAATAAAATAGATATAATTACTAACACGTCATTTCTTACCTACATAATAAATAATAAATAAATAATGTATAATAAGAATTCAAAATAAATAGTTAAGTTCTACCTATACAAAAAGCTTTACAATTATTATCTAATTATTAAAATTTATATACTTGAAAAAGAAAGTAAATACTTAGATAATGATATTAAATTTCACTAATCTAATACAAATTAAATGGCATCAAGAGCCATCGAATAGTTGTTGCAGAACATTTATTGAGTCATTTTCAACACGCTTCTTGCGATGTCACATTAACTTATGCAATAAAAACCAGATATGTAGTAAAGTAAGAACGGAACAAAACATCATCAAGAACTCTACAATGGCTTATTGCTGCTGATCAAGACTATCTATTGCTAAATAAAACATCAACATGCTTTTATTTTGGCACCCAACTTATGTTTGAAAATTGCATACTCCCCCTTTGTTTATTAGCTTCCGAAGAGCAACCTTGGCTTCCTCCAGCGTTTCCACGGCATGCCCTCCTTCAAAGGATATCCTTTGGACATTGAACTGCAAGAGAGCATAAGGTTGCATATATTACTACGCATGCTGCCAGGACATGTTCAAATCTACACACTGTTTTACTCTTTTGGTACCTGAGCTCCTTGGCGGACTCGAATATCGATTCCCTTGCTGTCTATTGATATTAAGGCGGCATCGTCTACCTCGCTTTCGGCTGATAGCAGCTCTTTCAGAGGTTTCGAGAACATCGCGTTTAATTCCTATTTCATGGATGTGGGGTTTATGCAAATAAGAAAAGAAACCATTACAAATACTATGACAACCAGAATACACCCTTTATGGGAGTGCAAGATACCGAGGCTTCAAAGAAATAATGATAATATACTTCTCTCCAAGTACTTTCTTAAAACTGCAACGAAATAAAAAATAAAGACAGAAAGAAAAACCTGCAACTTAGATCCTCACCTTAAGGCTTTGCTCGCCTCCGTCAACTGCAATCTTATCAGGTTGAAGGGCCTCATACTCCTTCACATCCACCCACGCAACAGTCCCGAAGCCTCCGATGAAATAAATGTCACTGCAAAAACACCGTAAAATCAAGCATGAATATTTTCTGATTGTTAAACTTAACTTCCTTGTAGGTAAACACGCCGATCAGAGCTCATGAATTTTTTGTGACCCACGGTAACTATACACTCGTTGTAAATTATGTTGGTAGACAAGTAGATGAAACAAAACAAGGACAAAGAAGAGAACAAGTAGAATTCAACATACGGGAGCTTCAGCTCAAGGGATTTAATTATCAATGAGTCTAGATGAGTTATTGCAGGAACCAAAGTCATTCGAAACATTTTTATTATATAGAACGTATGTATGATGAGAGAGGCAGGAAGGAATAGGTAGATGCCTAAAGTCAGCAGTCCAAACAAAACAACCGGAAGGATATTACAATCAAATCATATAAAGATTGGTGCAACTATAAAGTACCAGTAATTACTCACCGTCCATTGCACATGGTTTATGTAACTTGGTTAAGTTTTAAAAGCATTGATAGGATCTTTAAATTCTTGTGGTTGACTATTTCTTAAGTTTTCTCCATCTACGATGGTTGAATATTTCTTTTATGAATAAAAAAAAATTCCATTTCTACAAGAGCACTCTTAGTTCAGTGATAAAAGTAAAAGAAAATTTGGAAATCGTTTTAAACATGAAACAAAATGCTTAAATTAGTTAACATGGCTAAGTTGCCTGGGAATGAAAATAAAAAATCAATTTCTTTTTAAAAGTTCCACACAAATGATCCAGTAAACTTTCGTAATTAAAGAAATAAAGAAGAGTTTAAGAAATGGATAGAAAATGTTTATAAACAAAGCTACTTACACAGTGTGAGGAAAAAAATGCAATATACGTGAATGAGATATTGACAAATATCAATTTTTTGGATAGGAATTTCTCAAATATCAATGACACACATAGGATTTAGGGCCTTTTTGGAATGACTTTTCTAAGTGTGAATCAACGAAAGTGGAATGGTAATATTTTTTCAATATGGATAAATAGAAGTATAAATGTTGATGAAATAATACTGAAATGAGATTCTTTCAGACCGTGAATATACGGGTCGAATTATGTACACCTCTAAAAAGCACAATTATTGACCGTATAACATTTAATTGTCAAGCACATAGGATTTCCACCGTACCAACTTGAATAAGATTATCTTGACAACTTAGAAAAAATATTGACAAAGTTAATGAATTTGTAAATAACTCATACAAATGTTGCAAATTCTTTAATTGTAACATTTAGTCTTTCAATCTATCTAAAATTTTGTTTATTCAATTTAGGGCAACAAAGGTATGCATTAAAAAGAAAAAAAGATCTTTACCACCATTTATTTTTATATAAGTTATAGATTGTAAGTAAACACAGCCAACTATAAGCTGCATATAAGCAAATTACATAACAAGCCACAACTATGAACAATAAGGGTTAGTTAGGGACCAGTGACGCATTAATTTTGTAAGCTTTGACTACAAAATAAATGTTTCATTTAAAAGCATTTTAAGTATTCTTATCTACTCCTTAAATTTCTCGCACAACTTTTTGTAATTGAAAATTTTAAGAAGTATAATCACTTTACTGCACATCAAACACACTAAATCAAGAACAAGAAATAAACCTGATGTCTTGCATCCTGAAGTAGTAAAAATTTCCCCACTGTTGAGAAGGTCCTTGTTGATGCTTAGCTATGTATTGCTTGTGAGCCCATTCCTGTAAGAACAAGCGAGGATCATTTTGTTGCTAGATGTGCATATTGGAGAAGACTGATAAGCAAGCATGAGTACCAAAAGACCTATGAAATTAGTTTGAAGATTCACTTGTGAAAATAGAGGCAGACAACAGAGTTTCAACTTGTTAACTCTACCAATAATTACATCTTTAAAGTAAAACTGACCTGTTGATCCTCTGGAAGAGGGTATATATCACCAAAAATAGTTACTCTGGCATTTGACAAGCCACTCCATCCAGGTATCTGCAAGGCTTAATTGTCACATGAAGACCTAAAATGCAAGGACTAGAAAATGTTGATTGTTAAACTACATGCCTGCACAACAATGGTGCATCTTGGGTCTGCCAACAAATTCCGGGTATGAATGGCCAGAGGTGAAAAAGAAAAAATTGGATCTGCATGAAAATATATAGATATATATAACTACCAAGATTAAATAAAACAAGAAACAAAACACAATGTTATTACTTTATGGAATTGACTATTGAGATTAGGATTATAGAGGAGAAAGCTATGTCCAAAAGTTATCTCTTTCATCATATTCTATACCACTGAACAAAAGAAACCCATTGAAGATACTTCATTGTGCGACTTTTCAATCTCCTAGCCACAAAAACAAAAAACAAAATAAAACAACAAACACCAATTTATATAATTTACAAATGCCATTTTCAGCCAGTAGACTTCTTGATGACATGGCAGACGGTCTTTTGAACTAGCTTATCAATTAACAGGGAAAGACAATCCGGCCAATATTGAAACTAATTGACTTACGGCCCATGGAGTCAGTTGCAAAATCTACCAAAGAACCAAATGGGTATCCTTGTCTTCGGTGGTGCATCCGAGACATCACAGTGCACAAATGAGCAAATCTGGCCTTAAAAGTACAAAGAAGATCTCATTCAGAAAGTCTTTGCAGTTCAGAAGGCAACAACAATTGAAGTTCATATACATGACATTGAGGATACCTGTTATATTAGACAATAATAAAATGAATGGAGTTTAAGCCTGACCTGTTCCATGAGATTGCGGACAGCTAAGGCCGGTCTGGGTAGACCATGCGCTGAGGTTGCACTCTGCACGCCACCCGAAATTGGTGTTCTGAAAAGACCAGCTCTAGTTCCACTGCCAGATGGAGCAGTAAGAGATGCATCCA